TGTTTTATATAAACGTAAGAAAATTTATATCAAAAATATTAAACAAATAAACAAATCTTAAGTAACGTAATATAATAAATACCCTTGTTTCGTATCATTAGTATGATGACCTTCTTGCATACTTTTAGCCAGCTTAATCATCATTCTTCCATATTCATCTTCAATTGCTGCCCTTTTTTTCAAAAAAGTTGCTGTTTCCTATAAAGTAGTGATTTATAGAAATTCAAATTATTATTGGAACATAAAAAAAATTGAATGAAAAAAATAAAAGTATACATGCTTTAGCCGATGATGAACATTGCTTAACTCGTTCGAGAGCGATTCCAAGACCTCCCTAATATTATATTGGTTATAGAAGTCATGAATCAACATGTGATTGAAACATTAAAAATCATTCAAATGTTCGTACATCAATTTCGCAAAGTAATTTAATCAAACCCTGTGGTTCGTTCGCACGGTCTGTGATATCTGAAGACAAACTTTCATGATCACCGGTTTGATTTGTATCGATGGTTCTGAAAGAATTCACAGAGGCGACGTCAACCTCTGAATTTGTAGCAGGTGCAAACGAAAAGGGTACATTATTATTAGAATAAGAGGCTTCCGGAGCCACCATTGCGGAATTAGTTGTTTGTTCTAAAGCTAGTCTTTCCTGAGGGTGAATAAACATAGACATTGGGCGTGATTTTTTTGGTGAATTCGGTGAATTAGGAGGAGAACTTGGATCAAAATTTATTAGTCCCGGTAAAGTTGTCACGTTTAGAGATTGTACTTTTCGTTGGCGTTCATTATTCTGTGAAGGGACATTTTCGGAGTTTGATTCCATTTTTAAGCGGAGATATTTTCAAGAATATCACTGAATTCTTGAAACTTGAATTGACTCAACAGATTAGGGATTACTGTATAGTTAAGAGATGGCTTAATTTAGTAAAAGCAAGGATTATTTTTTATATTTGTCATGATTGACCCTACGATGGTACATCGATGTCATAAACAATTAGATGTGTAACATTAACAAATTTTTTATTTACTATTACGGGTTTAATATTAAAATTTGTCTATATATTTTTATGAAAAAAAACTAAAAAGTGCACCCGTGCACTGAGTGCGCCCCTGTTTGATAAATAGTAAGGTTAGGGTTAGTGTTAGTGTTAGTGTTAGTGTTAGTGTTCGGGTTAGAGTTTGAGTTAGAGTAGGCTAAAATTGTAAGAGGAGCATTTTTACTTAGTTACATAACAGGGGTTATCCTAGTAAAATTTTGAGATACAGGGGGGTGCACTGAATGCACAGTGCACTTTTTAACAAAATCCTATTCTATAAATTAATTACACAATTGTATAATATTTTATTATTTTTTTTATTTTTTTTGTTTCAACAGTAACCACTTTATTATGTCTAAACAGTTAAGTATATTACAAAACAGCAGCCTAGTCTATATATTTCTATATATCCTGGGTCCCTTCTTCGCAGTGTTGCAGTTCCCAAACCACCATACCCCCATTCGTGTGTAAAGCATCACATGGCTGCTCTAAAGTGCCTATGTGTAACTGTCTAGCCACTAATTTATCTCCCCTTTGGCCTCTAACTTGCTAGGGGGTTCTTTTTTGAATCAACAGAAGGCCATACTTGTCTATAAATTTTTTTTTTTGATGACTATGTTACAACTTTATTTTAATATAAATTTTACATTTTCACTAAAATGTAATTTCTATTTATAGCTATGCTAGTTTTAAACCTAAAGTGTAGCTTACTCAGTTATCTATTGGCACCTATGTGCGATCTACCAAAGTAGAATTAGCCTCACTGCTTCTTC